CAAATTGGTTAAATTCGGATTTCCAGTTTCCTTAACTATTATAAAAAGTTAGAGAGTATGAAAAGAATTATAGATAATGTATGGTGTGTCTATCGGCTTATGGTAAGTAGATGCTTGCTTTGTGATAGCTGTGAATATTGTTAGTAAGGTAAATGTATACATTGTAGCTATAGTAACACATTTTTTCCTCATGCCTAGTTGCTTAATAAGGCTTGCACTGTGCCTTGCCCTGGGAGTAAGACTTGGGTTCTAAGTGCTGTTTTGCCACTGACAGATTGGATAACCCTAGAAATAAAAACAGTCTTGATGGGCCTTGGCTTTATTATGTCAGTATTAGCTGTCATAATCATAATGTTCATTTTCTTTAAAGATCTCTTTGAATTCTAAAATTCTGTGATATTAGGAGGGTAACCATTAAGTAAAATATGGAACTTTTTAATCTGGACATATTCGCCAATGACTAACTTTTCTTAGAAGCTAAAGTGCTAAAATCATAGATTTAGAGTTACTTAAATATCACTAATTTTGGAGTAAATTCTAACTAAATACATGTCCTGTTCCCAAGAAGTAAAATTGGGCTTTGAATTTTGACACCTACATCCTCTCTTAGAAAAGAATTTAAAAAAATATGTTAAGTTGAGCCACCTGTTAAATTATTTCACTTACTGTCTGTTTATAATAGGCCACTTTCAAAAGACCTGCACACTTCCCTGTTTTTCTTGCCCTTTTAAAATACAGTTATTTGTGATTTGAATATTGTCCTGCCAAATTAATGAATGAATGTCTCTTTAGCTTCTTTCTTAACTCTAGAAGCTTTACTCAGTAATTAATCATGAGATTTTTGGTTTGAAAAACAAATAGTGGGACAAACAAATAATACACGCCTATTGAAAGACACAGTATACCTCTTCTTGCAAAGATGTAAGTCTAATTAAGCCTTCAGATCTAACTTCCAATTTATAAAAAATCTAAGGGAAAGGAAAATATTAGACAATACCACAAAGAAACAGACATATATAGAAGAGTGAAAGTCACTGTAATGAAAGAAAGATTGGAATCATTAACAGATTACATGGCTTATTTTGAACTATTTCTGGGTGGATTCGCTTTAGCATAAGCTACATATTGCTCAAAAAGTACATTGTTAATTCAAATATTTATTTTCCTTTTGTGATTATTTTGTTTCGAAGACCATAAAACCCTGCAAGTGTCTTTTTTAACTAAGAAAGACTTTCTAAAACAGGCTTATTTGTACTTTAAAGGAGTAAAGTATACTGAATATTATCTAGCAGTAGGTTATTTTACATGTTTATAATTATTTTTGTATGGGCAATTTGTTAAATGGATGAAAGTCTGTAAAAATCTTTGTCATACATGCAAGTTTTTTTTTCCTCTAAGTTTATTAGAGTATTTGTGAAAGATATTATGTAACACTTAGCCTATATACTCTTCTGCAAGGCAATGGAAACATGCAGGTCTGCTTTTTTTTTTTTTAATTTCGTGTATATGTTATTATATTTAAAGAGCAGAGTTTTGTATTGTTATTTATTTTAGCATGTAAATTTTAATGAAATTTGTTACTGCTTTAGATTCAGAGTAAAAGGACTAGATTTCTACTGTCCAATAGAGTAGATACCCTGGTGTGGGTAATGAGTACTTGAAATGTGACTGGTCCAAAATGTGATGTGCTGTAAATGTAATATGCACCGTGGGTTTTAAAGACTTAGTATGAAAAAAGAAAGTAATATTTTTTAGAATTGTTTTATATTATTATGGTTTGAATGATAATATTTTAGATATGATGAGTTAAATAGAATATCATACATTATAAAGATGTATTTCACCTTTTTCTTTTTTTAATGTGGCCACTAGAAAATTTAAAATTACATGTGTGGCTCATATATTCTAGTGGGCAGTGCTGGACTAGAATATCACAGCTTTCCTATTATGATGAAAACATGTGAGCTGAGCATTTCTGGTCTGAGAAAGATCACAATGAATGCATAGTTTTAAATTTAAATAAAGAGACCTTTTATAAAAACAGAAAAATTAGAATCACAAAAGAAAAAAAAAACATTGACAGCTTCTCCAGCAAAACTAGATGTGGAGGTATCCTCACAAACTCCAGATTATGGGTGGGTATGTTTACTTAGTGAATATTACAGAGCAATGAAAATGAATGAAGCAGCTACACAAAACAATATGAATGACTCTCATAAACATACTCTTGAGGGAAAAGCCAGACAAAAGTAAGTGCATACTGTATGATTTCGTTTATTTAGCATTCAGAAACAGGCAGGCCATGGCCGGCTAGCTCAGTTGGTTGGAGCATTGTCCTGTACAGCAAAAGGTTGTGATTTCTACTCCCATTCAGGGCATATGCCTTGGTTGCGGATTTGACCTCAGTCTGGGCATGTGTGGGAGATGATTGATGTTTCTCTCTCATGTCTGTTTCCTCTCCCTCCCTCCCTCTCCCCCTCCTTTTCTCTCCCTCTAAAAACAGTAAATATATCCTTTGGTGAGGATTTAAAAGAAGAAACAAATAGTACAGGCAAAACTATCCGTGGTATTGGGAATTCCGTGTATTAACTCTGATGGTTTCCTTTGTGGTTGAAGGAGAGGTAGTGGTTGGCAGGGGGCCACCAGCAGAGTCCCGGGGTGTTAGTCCTTCCCTATTTATGTCTGTGGTAGTTAAATGGGTGTGTTTATTTTCTGTAATTCATTATTTGTGTACTTCTCTGATTAAGTTATAATAAATAGGAAGGTTATAAAAAAGGAATGAAGAAGTGCCACTGATTAGGAGGGATCTCCAGGAAGTAAAAAACAAACAAAAAATACAAAACAAGGTGCAGATAGTTTTTATAATATGAAGTATTTTGGTTTGGTTTATAGGATGCCACTTCTTTTCTTCTGCGTCTCAGGCCAGCTCCGACTAATGATTATCACCTAAGCCCCAATCCTTGGCTGTCTGTTCTCTTTCTAATGCAGTTTTAGGATTATCGTATCTCTGTGCATTTAGTTCCAACCCTAGTCCCGATTTATCAATTATTTATTTCCAACATTCAGTGGAGTAGCTTCTTTTGATCATGTCATAGACGATGCAAAAATCAGTATGTCTAAATAAGCTACCATCCTAATAATCTTACTGTTTCCATCAATGGTGTCACTGTTCTCTGGACTTAAAAATCTTTGAGTTTTTGTTGACCTAATCCTGCACTGGACAGCCAATCTGTCCCTGTTGCTCACAGTTTCCTTTCAGCATTGTAAAATGCTTTATTTTCATTTATAAACTTACCATGATAACATCATTTAGAAAGTTACAATAGGATGTTGTAAGTTTCCCTGTCTTCACCTCACCTGCAAATACTATGTTGCCAAAACATCATAGAGAGAAAGATGTTCCTAAGGTTATATAGTGATGATGGTTGAAAAGCTCTGTGAATATCCTAAAAACCAGTGAATCGATTGTGCACTTTAAAAGAATGAATTTTATGGTAAATTATATCTCAATAAAGCCATTACTAAAAACAACGTCTTAGAGAGCCTTCAGTTATTTCCTATCTGACTAAATCTCAGTTTTGGTTTAGTATCCAAAGCCATTCATTGTATCTAGCCTCACTTTCGTATTCAGTCTCATCCAGTCTGTCAATATACAGCTCTTGTAGGTAGTCTCATCTCATTGATAATAACACCTTCATATTCTAAATGCTTTCATATATAAGATTAATAATCTTATGGGAATAGTCAAGGCCATAGATGTTATCCCTATTTAAAAATTGGGGAGACAATGATGTATCTGGAGTCATGGGGCTAGTATTAGAAGTCATTTCAATTTAAAGATACTTACTAAGCATCTTTTGTGTACTAGGCACTGGTTGGTATAGTCGGGATATAGATACATATTCCTCTGGTACTTAGAGAGTTTACCTGAGTTGCTTCTATTCTCTCTCTGCCTCTGCTAGCCTTCTTCCCATCTCTAGACTTTCTACTTTGTCTGGATTGCTTCTACTTTGTCCTTGTCGTTCTCCTTCAAAGCCCTTCTAAACTATGTCCCATAAACCTTCTTTAAAGCTTCCTTTACTTTGACTTCCTTGGGACCAGACCTATTCTGAATTTATCTGTTACTTGCCACATTTTCCTTACTTGATTTGCATGCATATTTATCACCTCAGTCGATGAGAACGCATCTCAAGGGCATAAATAATTATAATTTTTAAAGTATTTTTCACAATTTTTTCCTCATTGTGCCAACACAGTTCTGGATTCCTAGCTGCTTGGTAAAATTACATTGAACAGAAAACTAAGGCCTTGCCTTGATCTTTAATTTACTGGCTAGTGGGGAAGACCAAACACACACTAAGGGCATACCCTGTGCACTGTTGCAAAGCAATGAATCAGTTGTGGAAAGTGAAAAACTCCAAATTTATTGGGTAAGTGGTTCTGATGAGGTGTTCTGTTATGTTGTAACAGTTAACTGTAGCTTAAAGTTAATTCTGACCTTTAGACCCACTGTAGCCTTGGAAGCTCACACTTCAACACCTAAAGTAACTACTAGATAGCGATAAGCTGGGCGAGTGTTTTTCTGGGCAAAGACAAGGTACCATTTATTGGCCTCTTTAAGAAACTATTAATGTTAGTTGACCACTGTGGCTCATATTGTCTCTACAGGATAATGAACCATCCCCTTCCTGTATATTTTCATAAACCTTGTAGATAAAGGTGAAATGGTGAAAGCAGTAAAGTAATAAAGTAAAATGAAGTGGCATTCTGTGTTATTAGAAGATACAATTTATGGTGGAGTTCTCTTTGTCACTCAGATATCTTGTACTATTGATTTTATGTCAGTGTACATGGATGTCTTACAGCTTAGTCAGATACTGGTCTTCTAGTGTTCATCTATTCATTTCAAGAACAGTCTATGTCGTTCTTAAATAATAATTCTTAGGGTCAAAGTAAAGAAAATGAAGCCTACTTAATGTTTTTTATCATTGTTTTATAAGGCACAGTTGGTGGATCTGAAATCTGAACTGACAGAGACCCAGGCAGAGAAAGTTGTATTGGAGAAAGAAGTGCACGATCAGCTTTTACAGTTGCACTCCATTCAGCTTCAGCTTCATGCCAAAACTGGGCAAAGCGTCGACTCTGGTACCATTAAAGCAAAATTGGTAAGTTGTTTAGAGGGTAACATATACTTACGTGCATCTTAGAGGATGAAGGAGACAATTTTTTAGTTAGGCTTTTTAACTGTAAAAGGCAGTATGTGCACATGTGGGAATTTTAGAAAATACAGGAAATGTAGAGATCAATATGGTCATCCAAAATCTCATCACCCAGAGATGATCAGTAATAATAACCAGCAGATACTTAGAATAGGATTTTTTTCCATTTTAACATATCTATATAAATATATATTTAAAATATTTGTAATTATAGTGTATGAACAGTTTTTTGCTCTACTGTATCAGGATTAAGTTCAGAAATCCCAAGTAACATTGGGATTATTCTTGAATAGTACAAATTGTGTGTACATGTTTGTACATATTATTTTTTCTCAATTAAAGAAGCTCTGAGACAGTCCAGAGCTAATGTGGCAGCTCCTCAGATATCAGGGATCCAGGTTCCTTTTTTTATGATGCTCTGCCATTTTTAGCTCATGATTTTTTTCCTCAGGATTTGTTAATGTCTACATTCCACGCAGGAAGGAGGGGGAGTCTAAGGAAGGGCAAAAGAATGCTTCCTGGCTTCATTAGTCGTTTTTACAGAATTTTTCATGAAATTCTCCTTACTATATTTTGCCAATCAATTTAGCCATCTCAGTGGCTATCCTTAGCTGCATGTCAGTCTCTTGGTTCGTCACATGACCATGTCTATTTAAATTGGAATTCTGTAAATAAGGAAGAAGGGGACAATGGAATTGGGTGCCAACCAGTGGAGTACATGTTTTCTTTTGCTCTTAATGTGTTGTAAGCATTTTCCCTGCCACTTGAATACTTTGTTGTTTTGCCTGATGTTTCACTGTGCAGATTTTCCATAATTAACCATTGCCCTCTTAATCAGTATAGGTTGTTTAAATATTTTTTAAGTCTCATTTCAGTTCAACCTGATATGTACTGAGTATGTATTGTACTCTGTGCCAGACACTTTGTTAACTGTAGGGAACACAGTAATAAATAAGACAGATATAGATTGGGAGAGGCAGGAGATAAATTGTTGTTAATGAGAGTAAACACACTTTAAAGTTTTATTTGTTTACAGTTAATTCCACTTGATTAGTTTATTGGTTTTTAATACTGATGTGTTGTAATTTATTTAAATGAATATGTACATTCTCCTAACGTCCTTTTAAATTCTGAAATTCTATGAATCTAAATTAGTAGTAGTGTTTAACTGACATAAGTCAGATAAGTGCTTCTTTGGAATATTTTATATTAACATTGAGAAAACAATGTATATTTTTTTAAAAAAGAATTTGCCTAGTTTTAACATTAGACTTGAAACAGGCTTCTGTTATGGAATGACATTGAACCCACTGTGTTGACTAATTTTGATAGAAAATTTTAATATACCATATGAGGAGGGATCCCACCCCAAATGGAGTTTAGTTATAAAAAATTGTGTTTATTCTTACATGTTTAAATTTTATACCTTCAAAGTACTCTCATTTGATACAATACACCTATCGAGATATTTTTCCACTGCTGAAAACAGTTTTTGAACACCTCGATTTTGATGCCTTTCAGTGCTTCTGCCATTTTTATTTCACCTCTTCCACATCGACACAATGTTTCCCTTTCAGGACTTTTTTCATCAGGAAAATAAAACAAACAAACAAAAATAGCTTGGTGTGACATTGGGTGACTAGGGAAGGTGAGGCACAGGAGTGATGCCATTTTTTTATCGAAAACTGAACACTCAGCACGGTGTGGCAGGTGCAACCGTAAATCACTCATGAGATCGGCAAACGTGTTGAAAGGGACTTCAGAAAAATTTCACTGATGCTGAATGCAGCCTCTCACAACAATGCCAGGTGGTGCACTGATATAGATGGGTTCCTAAAACACTCACCGAGCCGGGGAAACCTACACTACAAGGGGCCTGCCCTCCAGAAGATAATTCTGGTGTTTATTGGATCCCCTCTCTTACAGTTCCTATTTATTGCTTATGTATTTGCATATATAGTTGTTCTAACAAATTTTACCCAAATGATACTCAACATACAGAAATGTTCCCTGTAGTGATTATACCACTAGATAAATTCATTTGTTTTTCTAATTATAAAACTTTTTTCTTGTATCTTAAGTCTGTCCCTTCGGTGGAGGAGCTGGTAAGTACCTTGTTTCTGCTTTGCTTTAATATGTTATGCTGAAGTGCTCTTGGTGTTTTATTTGCACATTACATGTTGTCACATTGTACTTGAAAATGACGTTACTGATGCCAATTTTTAATGTGTCAGCACCTGAAAAGTTCAGCGGATGGCCCATTGCTCTCTTCTCACTACCAGTTGCTAAAAATTTTTCTGTGTACCTCTCATGCATGCAAAGCCTCTTACACTCTCATGTGTATGGGGTTCCTATGCACATTACATTAAATTTGATTTTCTGTTGTCAAAGAAAAAGATTTTTCTTGTGTTTGTGATTCATAGCCATTATTTGCAGTGCTCATCAGTTTTAAAATTTTCTGAATCTGGTAACTTGTCCAGCAGAGCAGTTGATTTTCCCACTGGAGTATTTTGAAGATATATTAAGCAGACTCAGCTACCTCCTTTGCTGTTTGAATTCACTCCCAGAAAAAGAATGTGCATGTTAGTTTCTTATTTATCCACTGCATGTATTGTAACTTTTTAGCAGTCTTGAGAATAATTGTGTGGCCTTTATTGAATTTTAAAACCCTTTACTAGAAATTATTTAAAAAAAAATAACAACATATAAATTTGAACGTTTTTTCCACTGACCCAACCTAATCAGGTTCCAATTTGTCTTATGGCTTCACTCTTTTTTGAAAATATACTCTTTGGCTTTCTAAATACAAAATGAACTTATTGGTTATTACCTAATATTACACAGGTTGACTAAAAAAGAATTGTTTTTTCATGAAATCTAAAAGTGATCAACTTCAATTTTTTTGTCTTCTTTTTTTTAATTTCATCTGCTAATTTCAGGCCTGAAAGTTTGTCAGATTCATTAGGGGTTTGAATCATTAAAGCAAAGCAGTGACTTAATATGTTTCTCAGGTTTCATAAAATTTGTATAAATAGCTCATTAAAGTAGTTGTAAGTAGATAATTCTCAACATAAAGTTTATTTAGCCAGCAAACCAAAGAATTCTTGGTCTTCTAGAAACTTTTTTTCCTGAAACAAATAGCATTAACCTCAAAAAATTTCATAAAAAGAAAGAGTTCTATTCATGTTGTCTAAACTGTGGTTTCTTTTACAACTGATCCCTGGCCTTTTAAGAAATAGGACCTGAAATAAATAAACATATTCATAATTCCAATGTTCTTTAAAAAAAACCGAGCATTCTAGATTATTAGTTCTGCAATTTTTTTAAAGCAATATCTAGAAATTGCGTTCTACTGTTTTTTTATAGAAGTTGAAAAAGCCTGCTGCTGATTAATCGTTAATCTTCCTTCTGTTTATCACATACATAATAAATACTTTTAATCAAAAAACTTGTCATTCATTTTAACTTATACATAATTTTTTTTATTTTTAAGGTTGTGGGGCTCACTGCCTTGTATTTGATTATATTATATATTGATGTTTAAATATAGTACATGTTGATGTACTGTAGTCAAAATAGTAAACTAAAATGGACAGTTAAATTAATACCATAGTATATTCCATGAATTGCTAAAATTTGCTTAAATATCTTAGTTTCTTAATATCCTGAATAAAAAAAAGAAATAATTATAATAATCAGAGTACCCATACATTAGAAACTATCATTTGCCATTTGCTCAAGATAAACAGTTTTTCCTGGTGCTAGTAGACCTTTTAATCTCCTAAAGAGGACATGGCAGCATAGTGAAATGTCTTCTACATCTTATCCACAAATACAACCATATTTTCACAGGCTCTATAGATTCCATTCTGTAAATCAGTAAAAGCTGTTCCACTCAGGATAGATGAAAGTTTTTATTGTTTGGAACTTTTTTTGACCCAAAAATAACACTTAAAATACATATCAGTGTCCTCATCCACTCTCAGAAGGGTTTTGTTTGGCCACACAGTTTGTGTCTGCGTGTCACTTTGAATTTGACTGCCCTTTGGCAGGATTTTGTACCTTCAGTTTTCTACCTTACTTTGTCTTGTGCCTGCCTGTCTGCTCTGTGCTTGGATCCTGAAGGCATTTGCATTTGTACATAGAGTTCTTCATACTTTTAAGGTAAATTGAACATTGTTTCTCACATGTGAGGCTATAATAAAAATTTGATGGCAAAGACCTTGAAGTTATAGTCTCTGGCTAACACCTGTAAATTCACACATACGAACTATCTACAAAGTGGAGCATAGGATGACATCTTTTTATGAGAGCTAAAAATGGATATGCATCCTTCCATTAGCAGGCAAGTGAGGCCAGTATTTTCCTCAGAAAACAGTTCTTCCTTCGGTTACTTTTAACATATGGACAAATAAATGAGCCAGATACCAAAATTCAGGAGTAATCTATACCATAGATATACTTATCTATAGAAATTTTTGATGTGTAAATGTCTTAATGTAGCTGTTACCAGCATATCTGCATGACCATAAAATGTTTCGTTTTAGTTAGAATATCTGTTTTAATTTAAGCATTGTAAGCTTGTAGTCCTCTAAGACAGATTAGATATAGAACATCTCTCATAAAGAAAAAAAATAGAACATATCGATGTAACTGACTGATTTTGACGAGCTTTATAGAATTATTGCATTAAAATTAATTAAATATTTGGGCACAACCACCAGAGTGACTATTTTATGTTCTTTTAGTTTCTTCCTTCGTTTTTAGAAAATAGAGAGCAGACTGTTATCTGTTGAAGCCACTCCTATTAATATGTGATAATATGGGCATAAAGAAGACTACTTCTCTAGGACTCTCACTAGAAGTGGTTCCAACACCTTTTGGTACTAGTTTAAAAGGACTTGATCCAAATCTTTGTGTTCTTAAATGTAATAATTTTTATCATATGCTTTCATTGTTAATATTTAGGATGTGTGCTTTTGTGTGTTTTAAGGAACATGGTTTATTGTAAAGAGTCTTAAAAGTATTTTCATTACATTATTTTTTAAATCACAATAGGAAAGAGAACTTGAAGCAAACAAAAAAGAAAAAATGAAAGAAGCTCAACTTGAAGCTGAAGTGAAGTTGCTGAGAAAAGAAAATGAAGCCCTTCGTAGACATATAGCCGTCCTCCAGGCAGAAGTTTATGGGGCACGACTGGCTGCCAAGTACTTAGACAAGGAACTGGCAGGAAGGTGTGTAGAAATGGGTTCCCTTATACTCTCAGGTGACAAATTGATATTTAATGAGGTTGACTTTTACCTCTGTGGTAAATGAAATGTTCATCTTTATCCTAAGAGTTATTTCATAGTTGGTTATAGCTGTTTCATACTGTTGTTAACTTAATATTGTTAGCCTTATATATTGCTGCAAACTTATTTAGCCATACAGGATATATATTTCTGGTTTATATGCACAGACAGACACCCACACTGAAAATAATTTATTGTGAAATGCGAACACTCTACAGCTACACTTTTCAGCCATTTTCTGCCTTGATATCATAACATCAGGTTCACATGTACAGCACAGTTTCCATAGGGAATTCTATCTGTGGTCACTGAAATCTGATCATTCTTGCCCCTCAGAAATATGTTGGAATAGCAGTGATACCACAATAATAGACAGTTTTGCTTGTATTAAATTTTCACAATGAATTATTCACAAACTTTGGTGGTTTATTATTAGTACTAAATAATTTTCTGCTCATTATCTTAATGTCACATTAGAACTGATGTGGAGCACATGAAAATAATTTACATCACCTTGAAAGTACACATTTTCTAATAACTTAGCACATTTAAAATAATCATTTTATAAAAAGAAGCTGTTGTTAGAAGAAATGTTTTTGGCTAGTTAGTCTCATCTGAAGGCTAGTATTAAATAGCATCTGAATTTACCCTGGCTGGGTGACACAGTTGGTTAGAGAGTCACCCCATACACCAAAAGGTAGTGGGTTCGATTCCCAGTCAGGGCACATATCTAGGTTGTGGGTTTGATCCCTGGTCAGCGTGTGTACAGGAAGCAAACAATCAATGTTTCTCTCTCTCTCCCCCTCCCCTTCTGTCCCCCTTCCTCTCTCTGTAAAATCAATAAACGTGACCTCAGGTGAGGATTAAAAAAACTGTTTGAGTTTGAAGACCTATCTTGATTGGATGCTAGAAATTAAACATATGTTAATTGACATTAGTCTCATAAATTGTTTCTTCGATGAATTTACATTAAGCATATGACAAAAAAAAGTTCTCATTTATGTATTTTTAAACTGGTTTTCCATTGAAGACATTTATTCTTTTCAGAGTTTTCATATCTTTGTAAATCTGAGGGACATTGAGAGTTTCCCGAGTATTTTTATTTTTAGTACAAACTTGTATCTTTGCAAAAGCTAATTATGTTCAACAATTCTGAATTCTCTCTGTAGTGCTCATAAGGAAAAACTAACCGAATTAACTCTTTTCACTATATGAAGGGTACAACAAATACAGTTACTAGGACGAGATATGAAGGGACCTGCTCACGATAAGCTTTGGAACCAGTTGGAAGCTGAAATACATTTGCATCGTCACAAAACTGTCATCAGAGCCTGTAGAGGACGTAATGACCTGAAACGACCAATGCAGGCACCACCGGGCCATGTATGTTCGCTTTGCTACTATTTCCTACTCAACCTCTTACTTCTTTCTTTAATTGGAAGTTCTTTTCATCTTTTTATTCTGTTAGTATATAAAACCTTAATTTAAAAAGTGAAAGCGGGATCAAACTTACTTGAAACGGATACATATTTAAAGTTTTAATAACCCATAGCTCTTTATGGACTTGGTAATGCTCTGAAAGCCCTATTGCTGAAGATAGTGAACTATTGCTGTAAATACATATTGCTAGCTCTTTGGCTTATATTTCAAAATTTTCCCGGATCATGATTAGGCACAAATTTGTTTTAAGCTAAGCAGACAGTGTGTAGTTATATTGCCAAATTGCTAAATTTTGGGGGGGGCGTAATAGGTTAAGGGAATTTTGGGTAACTTGATTCAGTGTTAGTTCTGGCATAGCTCAGTTGGGTGTCATCCCGCAAAGCAAAAGGTTGCTGGTTCAATTCCTGGTCAGGGCACATGCCTGGATTGCAGGTGCGGTCCCCAGTTGGGGCACGTGCTAGAGCCACCTGGTGGATGTTTCTCTGTCACATCGATGTTTCTCTTCCTCTCTTTCTCCCTCCCTCTTCCTCTCTCTAAAAATAAATAAATACAATCATATTTTTAAAAATGTAGGCTTTGAACTAATGTTTACACTTGTTCTTCAACTAAGATGGAATTTGACATCTGTGTCTGTGTCTAATTGTCGACCTTCTTAGCCACTATGTACAGGTGTTTCTTTTTTTTTCTGGGTAAATCTTTATCAAATTTCCTTATAACAGCTGTCTGATGATGCAGACCTTAATATAATAAGAACATGGCAAACTCCTATCCAGTGGGTCACATAGCTTAGCACCAGATAAATCATGGCCTGAGTAAAATTATTTGTTGGCTTTAATAATGCAAAGAGTATTGTAAGAAGAACTGATATGTACATGGGAGTTGATGGGAGAAGAGTGAGGATAGCAATAAACACTTAGAGCATTGTCTTCTCTGGGACGTTGGTGGTCCCCATTAACTTCTAGCAGTGGCCAGATGACAAAAGTTATTTTATGCTAAATAAAGGTTTGAACTTTAACCTGATAGTCATGGGATTTTAAAGTAAGATAATGGATTTAATAAGATTTAACATTTTTTTTTGACAATTTGATACAGTGAAGAGGATATATTGGAAGAGGGTCTAATTGGAGGTAAGGAGATACATCAGAAAGGTACTATACTATTCCAAGGAAAAAGTGATGAGAGCAGGGCAAGTGCATTTGAGGGGAAGGACAGGTTTAATAGAATTAGAGTCAAGAGGACTTGGTGAGTAACTGCTTTTGGTTAAGTAGGTGAGTGAGAAGGAAGACACTTTTTTTAATCTGGTTTTTGATTTGGGCAACTGAGTTGATGACATTCATTTATAAAGCAAATACAGGAAAAGGAAGGTTTGGGGGGAAAGATGAGATCAGTTTTAGACATGTAGTATATGAGGTGCCACTGAATAGGCAAGCCATATCCAGTCGGATAAATGACTAGAGTTCAGGAGAGATGTCTTGAGTTAAAGAAATATTAGGCAGATCATTCATCTGTTTATAATTGAAACTGTGGAACTGATTAAGTCACAAAGGGAAAGTATATTTAAGGTAAAAAGAATAGGAGGGCAAGGATGGAAAGACACTTCTATGGAGTGAGGGAAGGAAATGGAAATGGATTACCAAAGGAAGGAGCCTGAGATGGAGCTGCAGATACAGGCCATCTAGGAAAGTAGTGTAATAGAAACCAAAAGGAAGGGTTTCAAGGAGCGGTTAATGAACAGTTTCGACTTTCTCACATTGCATGGTGACTGAACAGTGTTTGTTGGATGTAGCCATATTGGTTACCGGTTACTGCAGAGAAGATACTTCAGTTGAGCAATTGGGGTCAAAACCCTAATTACTGCAGGTGGAGTAGTGATTGTGGCAGGCAAGCACGCAGAGAGGTGAGGATTAACGCTGTGAAGGTTAAGGAAAGATGGAGGATCCTCCTAGGATGGTAGCTACAGATGATAGTAAGTGATTGAGGGGTTTTGTTTTGTGTTTGTACATGGTCAGTATTTTAAATCTGAAAGATGCTTGGAGTTTTAGTTTATATGCTGAGTAGGAAGGCACCTAGTAGAGAGGGAAAGAGAAAAGGTATCAGAAGGAATTATTAGTGGAGCAAGGTCCTTTATCTAAAAGGTAGACCTCAAAGGAATGAAAAATTAATGAATGATCCAGTTAGTAATTTGTTTTCCAGTTCTACAAGTCAGTTAAAGTGGATATAGATCTTTATAATTTTTTCCAGTGAAGATAAACAATTACCCACTTTTATTTCTTGAAGATATTTGTTCTTCAATTAATTCCTGGCAATAATTTTTTCTGTAATGTCCTGCAATTTAAAAAGAGATTTATCAGTGTTATAGAATTTGACAAAAGGGTGAGAAAATCATCTGTACAGTCTGTTATATGAACAGAACAACTATTTTCACTTTTCCATTTTATCTGTAATTACTTTCTTAATACTATGTATCCATTACAGGAAATTAATAAAGATTTCTTTATTTAATAAAAGCAGATCATATGGCATGGGTTTACTGTATTGTTATGTTATTTACGGAATACTGATTTTTTTCTTTTTTCCCCCCAATAAGGATCAAGACTCTCTAAAGAAAAGCCAAGGTGTTGGGCCGATTAGAAAAGTTCTCCTTCTTAAGGAAGATCATGAAGGCCTTGGCATTTCAATTACAGTAAGAAGTAGTACTTTCAGTCTCTTTTTCTACAGTTACCTAGTATAATAATGCTCCTTCATTGGACATCATTGGGAAACAGTATTTTAGATATATTTTCTAAATAACTAAATTTATTCCTATAGGCACCCTTTTTGTGTAAAGTTTTTTTGTTTTTTTTTGTGGGGGGGGGTGGTTGGTATGTAAATCTTCCAAATAACTATTAAGTACACCTTTAGTAAACAGAGTTAAACATTTTTATTTTGACTCAGGTCATAGTTCTGTACTATATTCTGTGATGCTTTTAAGGGCCTTTGGGGGATATGACCATTTTTTTCTGTGTTAAATGGCTCCAGATTGTATTGCTTTTTTCTCTAGAGTATGTCTTTTTCTTGTTTCATTTCTTTGTTGTCAGATTTGATTGGCTCTTGGGTCTAAATACTCCTTTTTAAATGTGTTGCCTTTACAAAGAGTTTTTTGGGCAGCATTCCTGAGAGCAATCTATGATAAAATACATATATTTGGAGTTCTTTTGTTGTTGTTCAGTGCTTTGTTCCAGATGAATAAATAAGGCAATTTTACACTAATTTTTATTTGGCAATACTTAAGCACTGCATAAGCTCATTTTATTTCTGGTATTGCTTAATGTAAAAATGTGTCTTATCATGACAAGTTTATACAATGAAGAAATCAGATACAGACACAGACATACACACATATAACTATGATACAAGCTGGAAAGTGATATGTACCAAATGCTGCATTTCATTAATTCTACGTGGCATATTTTTTCACTTTTAATACCTCTGAAACTGAGATTTATCTAGTGATCTTACATTTATTTTTGTGGTACATGGAAAAAAGGTTTTTTGGGGTTTTTTTACCATTTATAGTGATTTAGATTTGATAAAATCTAATAGTGCTGTAGACTGCTAGTACATAAAGTATTTTTATTTGTTCTTAAAAGAGTTGAGCGATTATAATTGTTTCGACTCTAAAATACTTTTTAGAAAAGCGCATGTATGTTATCAATCATTTTTACTAAGGGGTAACACTCTGATACTCATAATAATTTATTTATCATTATTAAGCATCAAATAAGATTTCACTTAGCATTTACAGAGACAGTATATATAGGTGTTTATGAAATATATTTTTAAGAAAATTTATTGTTAGAATAGCCTGTGATTATACAAAGAGTAAACTAATTTATTACCTTTGTTTTGTTGTATTTTTTGTCAGGGTGGGAAAGAACATGGTGTTCCAATCCTCATTTCTGAGATCCACCCAGGGCAACCTGCTGATAGATGTGGAGGGCTACACGTTGGAGATGCTATTTTGGCTGTTAACGGAGTTAACTTAAGGGATACAAAGCATAAAGAAGCTGTAACCATTCTTTCCCAGCAGGTGACTTTCCTTTATGAAATTAAAATTAGATCTATCAATTGGTTCTTTTTGAATCTATTGAATATTTTATATTTCCCTAGGAGGTTACTCAAGTAGTAAAGTGTTTCTGTGTAGATACTAGCTTTTGTTGGTTTGTTTGTTTTTGATTTGGGGCTCTTATAGAAGACATTCAGCCAGATTTACAGAAAAAGGAGATTTAACTTGCTCTTTGAGCAAGTCGAGTCTGCTGTGCTGCAGTGTCCCCATGTGAGCGCTGTAAGGATTAGGTATGTTAACACACTATGACGTGCTCAGGACAGGACCTGACATTAGAGAGCAAAGCATCATCAATGACTAAAACATTATGTAAATATAAGGTATTATAGAGAAAAAAATGATGCTAGAAATGTTAGAACTAAAAGGGTCCTTGGAAGTCATTTAGCCAAACCCTCTTATGTAAAACAAGTAAAACTAAGGTTCATGGAGAAATACATGATTTGTTCAAAATTTCAGGCAAATAAGTGATACAGTTGGGATTTACATCCAGGAGTCATATTTATTATTCTGTGTATTTAAGATTTGTTTTTTGTTTAAGATTAGGGTTGAGGCAATTAAGAGAGGCATCGGTAATATATTGAGGTGGTTGTTGTATCATAAGTGCGGTACGCGAATGTAGAATTGAATCTCAGAGTTCAAAGTGAATTTAGAGCTCATTTAGTTCAACGTCACATGATGTATAAACCTCTACAGTATCACTAATTAAATAATTGCATTAAAGGACTTTATAAAGCAGTCTACTCCATTGTGGTACATTTATGATTTTTAGAAAACTCTTTCTCATATTAAGCCTGACACTGTGTCTCAGTGACAGCTACCCACAGACCTAATTCTGTCTTCTAGAACTGTACTGAATGCACTGTACTATCCATCTGTCTCCCCAAAATGGTGTTGGTAAAGCATATTCTGAAAAGGGAGAGCTAAGGATGCAACCCTCGTCTCTTTAAGGTAGCGTTTTCTCAGCCCAGCTTGGCTGTCACTCAGCAGCATGAGAGTGGAGCGAGTGGCGTTTGTGCTGCAGGAGGTACAGATAGACAGTCATAAAGTTTAAGGACACGCTAAGCACGTATTAAAATTCTGAAACGATCTTAAACTTCTGGGAAAAAGGGAGCATCAAAGAGACTAACTTAGTGAGCAGCAGTAAAAAACAGAATGGCATGCTTTCTTTTGAGCAAAGGCAGGCCATAATTTTCAGAGAGTTGCATATCCCAGACTCATGTGTGTGTAAATTGTAGTCTCTAATTAAATGACAATTATAGCTTGGAATTTTTTTAAACATAAAATAATCTGTAACTTTTTACTTGAACATAAAGTTGTTATTAAAGAATAACTGTAGAAATAGTACACATTTAGTCTAGTATGTTAGAAAGAAGAACTTTAGAGTTGTTTTTCTCTTACTCCGTTTTACTTGTTTGTCATATTGGAAGTTACCTGCTTTCTCCAGACTTTCTCAAGTTCGTCATTCATGTAAAAGAGACTGTAATAGTGTTATTTTAAGGATTAAAGGATATAATTTTGCACAATAAATATAGTGATTACTGTTATTACTGAACAGAATACTTGATCAAATACTATGTTTGGTACTCAGTGAAAGTTAAGAAAAGGTTCAAGACCTAGTCAGTAAGAAACAAGAAACCATTGTATAGAGGTTTCTTGAATTAATCAAGGAAAAGTTTGTGTGATGCCTTTAGGTGCAAGATTAGTTGATACCTCACTATTTCAATGGATTTGCTGCATAGCTGTGCATGGCACAAAATGGCAAAATAATTTCAACTGAATATTTGTTCCAGAATTCTTTAAATGGAATAGTTAAGCATCCGTTTTTGAAGTTTATTAGCAAAAATATTGTGATCAGTAGAAAGAACTACTGTAATATTAAAAAATTACTTATAGAGAGGATTCAGGGAGTTGGTCTGGACATAGTGGACTCTAAGTTGTCTTCTACCTTTTGAGATTCTAAATATTGTTATTTGTTGTCTTGAAAGGAAGCTACATCTGAGGTCTGACTATTGTTCCTCATCTCTACCGCCCACCCCAAATAATTTAGAAATCCTTTTATTACATTTTCATTTATAATAACTTGACTTCCTCATTTCACCCCCCTTTTTAGAGAGGAGAGATTGAATTTGAAGTAGTTTATGTGGCTCCTGAAGTGGATTCGGATGACGAAAATGTAGAGTACGAAGATGAGAGTGGACATCGTTACCGTTTGTACCTTGATGAGTTAGAGGGAGCTAGTAACCCTGGTGCTAGTTGCAAAGGTCCAAGTGGGGAAATCAAAGTGTTACAAGGTAAAAATCACTCTATAAGTTATTAGTGTATTTATTATTAACAAAATTTTAAAATATGAAAGCCAAGGCTGTTCTTCAGTAGCACTTTTAATAATGGGAAACTATCATTAACAGAGTGGATAGCTCCCCCTTGCTTATAGTTTTATTGTAACCAGTAACTGTGCCAAAATTTTATTTATAACAAAGTTCTTCTAGATTCATCTTGGATCTTAAGACAAGTACATTACCAGTTACTAAACTGCAAGTGTTCTTAAAAAATAAATACAATTTAAGTTTTCTAACTCTGAAGCAAAGACCAAAATGCCTGTTAGAATAAATGTTTCTTAATGTCATCTGTCTTAATGCAAATTCTTCTCTCAAAATACAATGAATAAGTGATTAGACTGTTGTCTTATCATTGCTGTTAGAATCAAGATATGTGATCTTGAGGATTTTTGGGTAAGTTCCTTTGCTGTCATTTACTCATTTTAAAGAAAAATTCTAGCAGTTTCTTTTACCTAATATAGTGATTCCTAAATTATGATCCATGGAACTCTGGAGGTCCCTGAGGCCTTCTAAGGGGTTAATGGTATCAAAATTTTTCATAACAATTCTAAGACATAATTTATCTTGTTTTGTTGTCACTTTGTATTAATATTTGCACTGATGGTACAAAAGCAATGGGGATAAAACTCCTGGTGCCTTAGTGGAATCAAGGCAGTGGCGCCGCTGTACTAGTAATTACTGTGTTCTCCCTTGCCACCAGTCAGAGGGAAAAAAAAAGAAGAAAATGTTAGTCTCACTCATGAATATCCTTGATGAAATAGTGCTAGAAAACTTCATTTTATTAAATCTTGACCCTTGAGTACATTTTAAAAAATATTCTTTGTGATGAGATGGGGAGTATGCATGAAGTACTTATAATGGTATGCTGAGCTAAGATGCTCGTCTCAAGGAAAAGTACTTAAATGATTAAGTTGCTACTTGAACTATTCATTTTTTTCATGGAAGATAATTTTTACTTGAAAGAATGACTGACAAATTATGGCTGTTCAGACTGTTTGGCAGTCATTGTCTTTAAAATGAACAAAGTGAGTCCATCACTTCAAGAAAGACGACTGACAGTATCTATTACCAGGGATAAAATGTGAGCTTTCAAGAGAAAATTAGAATGTTGTAAAACATGCATCAATCACAATGAGCTTGATAGCTTCCCAACACGTAAAAATGTTTTCTAATAAGATTGGTGGTGATATTAGTGAATGAGTGTGTATGTTTTTTAATATATTGGAAAATGATGTGTCAACTTTTGGAAATGCTACATAACTCAGAGTTCTGATATTTTTAAAATGACCAGTATATGATGTTATAAAATCCTGCATGGGCAAAAAAACCATTCAAAGTAAAGATAGACAAATGAATTTTAATTTAATGGAGTACAAAAAGTTTATTGATCTGCTTTCAAATTCCATGTTGCCAAATTTTGGTATAATACAAAAGGAGAGTATTGATAGTTATGTGGAAAGGTTATTAAACTGCTCTTCTATCTTCCAACTACATATCTGTGTGAGGGTGAACTAATTTTATATAACGTAATAGATTGAGTAGAGCAAGTATGAGAATCCAGCTATCTTCTATAAAGCCAGACATTAAGTATATTTGCAAAATTGTAAAATAATGCTGCTCTGCTGACTAAACTTTTTAAATTTGTTTTATTTATTGATTTTAGAGAGAGGAAAGGAGAAAGAGAAATATCTATTGTTCCTCTTAGTTATGCATTCACTGGTTGATTCTTGTATGTGTCCTGATTGGGGATTTAACAGGCAACCTTGGCATTTTGGGACGATGCTCTAGCCAACTAAGCCACCCAACCAGGGCCCAACTAAATATTTTGAGGAAAATAGTTATATTTTCACTAAACAAATATGTTGTTTATGCTAACTTTTTTGTCATTTTTAACAAAGTAGTAATTTTTTTCAGATTTCTCAGTTTTAGTTGCTAATATAGTAAATGTCAGTAACCCACATAACATTGATTTTGCACATAAACAAAAGCTGTTTTGGAGTACTTGTTAAGAGTATAAAGGCATCCTGAAACCAAAAAGTCTGAGAACTTACAGTGGATTGATGAAGTGTTGCCCTCCTGCTAAACTTGTATATTATGAGTTATCTACACCAACATATCAGTAGTAAATATTGTTGTCCTCAGTCTTCCTGAACCAAACTATTGTGGCAGTATGTCAAAACCTTCCACTATTGGGCTGCTAGCCCAGTGATTTCATTGTCTTTCATTCTTTCTACAATTTTCAGTCAGGATTAGAAGGCTTGTCTCTTCCTTTTCTGGCAGCTGAGGCTAAAAGAGTACTGTCACATATATAATTAGCAGACCACTTAAATTGTGACTCCACTGAAAATGTATGCTCATAGTATATATTGCTATTAACTGCTCAAATTGCAAAAAAATATATCATTGGTCATTGTTTTTAGTAAATGCCCATACTTCATAGCTCACTAAATAGATGACAGTCAACTCTCATTGATTTGAAAGTCTATTATCTATTTTGTAGAGTAGCCAAAATTAATTTTACATTTTATCTGGACATTGCCTTGCCAACAAACTAGAGTTTTAGCAATAAACTAGTATATACTTTAGTGAACTGAAGTTAAATAATCTTAAAGCAAACTGTAAAAGAAAAAATATAATTTATAGTCCAGTATATGCTTGTGTAAGTAAAAGTGACTGAATTTTACAGTTATGCTTATCAATTATAAATTTCATACAAAATTTGGTAGGAAATTTAATACAATTTTTAGATAGGTCCAATAGCTAGTATTTTTTAAAAATCTCTACAGTGTTTGACATCTGCTATAAGAAAGAGTAATTCCTTTTTTCAGAAATTGCTAACTTGGTTAATCTAGGTGGCCCCATTGTTTGCCTCAGATTACTGTTATAAATTACAGTGGGCATTCATTCCTTTGTTTTTGCTCAATAAAATCACAAGACTTTTTTAAACTAGAAAACGGCTTTTTTTCCTTTCTTTTAGGATTTAATAAGAAGGCAGTAACTGACGGACATGAAAATGGAGACCTAGGAACTTCGAGTGAGACTCCGCTGGAAGACAGTGCTTCTAAGTTAGATGATCCGCACAGTCTGTATCATAAAAAATCTTATTAAACTGACTGTATCTCCAGACAAGATTATAAAATGAGACTATTCTGAATTTGGGGCACTAGGGAAGATGGTGATGAAGACTATATAAATCAAGGGAGGCTGTTTGCTACCTAAATGAGAGACGGGCACCTCAGGGCTTCATGTGAACGATTCTAAATGCTGAACCACCGCTTTCTGTGGTATATCATAATTGGCTATTGCATGTAAAGCAATTTTGATTTTCTTTAAAAAAAAAAAACCTGTGAAGTACCAAAGCATGTGTTTTCCAAAGGGGTATTACTAGGCTCTTAAGTACCCAATGAAGCACTACGGTTTTATTTGGTTCCTTTCCCACTTAGAAGGATAGTGCTAACCAGTATTTTATAAGAAATAGCCTTTAAATACAAGAGAATAAATGAATTCATATTATATGTTCCAGAATGTCAAGCGTGGTGTTTCAAAGGACAGAATTTAATGAATAACAGAAATGGAAGCTTAATATTTTTTAACTAAAAGAGAGGTTTTAGTTTTTTTTTAATTTATTTTGCAGCCTGGTATCTAAATCAGTTCTTAAGGATCATTCATTGTGATAAATTTGCTGTTCAGCTTTATGCAATGCAGTACGAAATAGTTTTCTTCAAGCAATCCTTGATCAATCAGTGCAGCACTAGCAGTAGTTCCTGTGAAGTTACTGTACATTGTACTTTCCTTGTGTTTAAATGAAATACAGATGAGTGTAAAATATCTGCCCTCAATTATGTTGATCCTCTGTGCATGATATTGGAGCATTACGTTGTTACTAATTAGTCTCAACTGCTTTTTTCTGGAATCTACAAAAGACAGTTTATGCATTTTGAGTTGTGTCTTGTGATTGTCCTGACACTTAAAGATACTTTTTTTTTTCTGGCATTAAAAAAAGCTCCAATTTATTACTGTGCCATTGAAATACATTGCATTCAAACAGCGGTTTTTTCTCAAAGTAACTGATTTGCCAATCATTTAAAAAGCTAAAGCACTGGTGGGAAAGATAAGGTGAAGAGAGATGTTCTGAGACAGTAATTGTTCCGGTTGACTTTTCCTGTCAGTGTGTGTATGACTGAAGTGCTTTTCAGCTGCAAACTAAGATTTTTCTAGTTCGGTGATCCCAAGTACTTATCTGCTTTTTTATTTACTGTTCTGAAGGCCACTGTACCTTGTTGGAGATAGTGAAGATATGACATTTAAAGAGGTGATGCCTTTGCTGGTATCACTGTTTCAAAGGATGTACATTTAATGGATGTTCTGTGAGGGGAAAGCTGACAAGGATTTAGAGTAGTACCAGTTCTTTGTTTCTAATACTCAGATGTCATGTGATGATAATAATACACATTTTCTTGTCTGTCCTAGATGCACTATATATTTGTTCATAGGCAAATCTGTAAAATGTATATACTTTATTTGGTGGTTTTGCTATTTATAAATTTTATGTTTTAACTATTGCTCATTTATGGTTTGTTTTGGATGGTTTTAAGCATCTGTATATCTCCATGTTAATTTGTAATAGAAATGCACTTCATAGTATATATTGTTACTGATATTAAAATACCTTGTAGGATAAAGTTGCCCCTAAGCAAAAGCTAGTATTTAATTGTACAACTGAATAAGCAAGCTACATGCTCTTGTTTGCTTCTGACATGCTAGGCTAGACCTCTTAATAGAAAACAAATGTTTTTTCCTCTTCCAAACACATGCCCCCATGCATGACATGAGATCTACAAACAGGATTTTAGCCAGTGTATTCATTTAGTCAAAAAAAAATTACCTTGTAACATGTCTGGAAATGTTTTTGTTGTGACTTGAAACATGTTATTTTTTTTTTTAAACAGCTGAATGGGACAACCATGGCATTTTTTTTCCAGAGCATATCTATGACTGAATTCTTAGGAAATATTACCTAAAAACCTTTTGATTTTCAAGAACTGTCAATAAGTCCATGAAGAATGTTTTTACAGCCTTCAATTGGCATATTTATGAGGATGCTGTGTAATATAAAGAATTGTGTGAGATGTTTATGACATAACTCCTTTCAAGGGCTGATGAGCAGAATGAAAAATTTTCCAGGTAGTTTAAAATTTGAAATTGCACGGGTCAGTTCCCTTTAGATTCTTGTTTCACCTTGGTTTGTGAGCCTCCTTGAGAGGACTGTTGCTCAGATGTCACTGTGAGCTTCCTGGCAGGTATTTTGTAACTACCTGTTTAAAAGTTCACTTTAGATATATATGGTCTTTGGGGGATGAACTAAGAATTGTAGACTTTTTTTCCCCAAAGGACCGAATGAGAAGCATTTGGTTTTTTTCACCTGTATAGGAAAGGAACTCATAACACTCAAGTTTCAAGGGCAAAGTCAAACATGTAAGGAGAGAGCTGTTGCAAAGTTATTATAGTTAAAAAGGAAAAACAAATGCACACAGAGAATAGCTGAGAAAACATTTTCAGTAGTGTGTGAGAGCCATGTGTATGTGTGTATACAGTTACATTTTTAACTGCTAAAATCTCTTTTACGCTCTCTGTTGTAAATAATGGAAAAACAACATTTAGATTATTAGACTTGTTACAATAGATTTAAGAAAGGTGAAAATTTGTGAGTCTTGGTAATTATAACTGGAGAGTTGTCAAAAGTTAGCACAGTTTGTTTTGGTGCTGGTTTTATTCCCTCCAACAGTGACCTTATTTTGTTTTTAAACATAATATATTTTAAGCAAAAACATTTACGTTTTGTTTTTAAACAATTGCTTAACAATAATTATGTTTAAGCAATTTTGTTTAAAAACAAAATATTCATGCCTAAGTTGCACATTAGTTGACATTCCTATTGTAATTATAATTGATATTCTGTTCCACCTATCTGGTTTCCCACCTATGGTTGGCCTCAAATCAATAAGATTTATGACACATATATCTAGTTAAGTTGAGTTTAATATTTTTTTATTAGCCTGTAAATAAACATGGTGTCTTCTACATTAAAAATGGCATTGATCTCATTTTTAAGAAAATAAATTTTGTTTCTTTCACATTAAATATTTTGGTTTATTATTTATTTCTAGTAGCCTCTGTTATTTGTACCGACAAGTCATAAATACATCCAAAGGCTGACCCTAGTTACTGTGGTAGAGCAGTTTTTTTTGTTTTTTGGGTTTTTTTGGTAGGAATTAACTCTTTGGTCTTAGAACTGTTTAACCTGAGTTAGTTAAAAACATGCTTCCTAGGAGGAGCTGCCAGAGCAACTGTGGGACCAGCTTCTGTTGAAACTTAGCAGATGGCAAAACCCTAGCCTCCTTGGGTTGGTTTTGTTTTGCAGATATTAATAGCCAGTATTATCTATGATAATAACATTGATACAAATTAGAAAACCAGTCCTATTAGATGGTATGTGAGAAGATCTTCCATTTTATCATCTAAGCCAGCGATTTTCAGCCCATGTGCTGTGGCCCACTGATGTGCTGCAAGAACTTTTAAAACATGCAAACCCTGACCATTTAGTCAGGGGCCCTGACCTCTTTTCCCTTAGATTTTCAAGTAAGAAATGACAACAGAGCCTGCACAACAGTAGTCATCCCCATGTGGATGAGTCAAAATTATACCTATTTTTTTTGTTAGATTGGCAAAAATATATTTTTTGTTGTGCCACAGAATTACAGTAATTAGTTTATGTATGCCGTGAAATGAAAAAGGTTGAAAATCTCTGAGCTGAGCATATATAATTTAGAAGTTCCCAAGTTATGTGTAAAGTATATTTTAGAAACATCTGTAAATGCTGAGTTTTTGGCCTCAGAAGTTTTCCATACGGTTATTTACAGCCTACATAAGAACTAGGTACAAAATGTACAGGAATGCCTTGTCTTTTTGCTAAAAATATTTGAGGTGATCAGGAAGAGAACGTTACAAATGATATTTTGCTCTAAGTACTAATGTAAGTCATATTTCAGAAAATGACTTGTTATGAACATTTACAAATACTTATTTTTTTGTAATGGACTACCTTGACTTAGTCCTAATGTAACAATGCTGTCTGTGTATCAGTTTAAGCTCCCAGTTGAACAAGTAATTTGGAAAAGTCTCTTCCCCAGAACAATATCACATAGGAAATTGTTAAGTTTACAAAATGTAAAAGATTATATTTATATTGTTAATCAGTGTTCTATTTTAGGTGGTTTTATAACTTTGTTTTTTAAACTAAAAGGTATTGCAAATGACTATGTTGTTGGTGCTAAATATTTGTTTGATAAACAGTTTTTTTTAGGTGTATTTTGAAAGCTGTAATCACTGTTGTGGCAGCCTGAGAATGCAGATGTCCGACCTCCACCAGGCAGGAGCGAACTGGACCAACGGCCCACCTCGCTGCTGCGCTCTGAAATACATCGCTGCATTTACACGGGGGCTCCACTTCTCACACGCTGCTGCCAGCCAAGGACTGATCTTGAGAGGGATCTTAGGACATCTTGGCTTTGGCTTGAGGATTCCCGGATTGTCTTGCTAGACTCCCTTAGGATTACATTATACCCTGAGTTGCTTTCATCCAACCTTCATTTATCCTTCCACTCATTTTGGGTTCTGCCTGCATCACATAGCCTCCTACCAAACCCACCCAACTCCCTCCTGATTTTTTCTCACCAGTGTTGCCCCTGTGTAATCCGTTACAGAGCTGATTGCTCCTCAGTCTTGGTGTTTGCTTCCCAGAGGACCCAGACTAACACAAGTGGATCAGGAGTGAGGTCTGCGGAAACAGGTTCACAAGATTAGGAGCTGGTTCATCTTCTACCCAAAGGGTAAAGAGGATGACATCCTGGTCTGTAAGTGGAATATATGTAGTCCTTGATACAAGGTCATGGCTCAGTTACTAAATATTGCACAGGTGGTGTGCAGAAAAGAGTTAACATAGCAAGCTGGAACTTACTATCCTTGTAAAGACCTGTTGGCAACATTGCCTTTGGCTAATGTCCAGCAATGAGGATTTCAGGAGCATTTTCCTCCATTGATAAGGGTGGCTTACTATGCCTGAAATATTTGTACAAATAATAGGGTTTATGTTGAACACCTGTTTTCCTTCTGGGAATCTAAAATTTTGGTACGCGCTAGGCATAGCACACCCATGTGACTGAGCCCAATAAAAACCCTGGCCTCCTACATTCAGGCTTGGGCAAGCTTCCCTGGAGGAATTAAGCTCATCCTGTGTGACTCCATTGGGGCAAGACTGGAGCTTGTGCCTGCTTTCCTGCTTTGTTCTTGTGCCTTTTTCCTTGGCTGATTTTGTTTGATATTCTTTCTCTAATAAATCATAGTTGTGAGTACACTTCGGTGCTTAGTCCTGTGGGTTTTTCTAGCAATTCACTCAACCTGGAGATGGTCTTGTTCACCCCATACGATTGTTAACTTGGGCAAATGTCCCCATGGAGAGGAATTCTTCAGAAGTTCAATGACAAGCATTTGAAAAACATGGGAGAACAATGCCTACAAGAAAAGCTGAGTTGGTTGGTGACTGCTGGGTTGTGTTGACCTACAGTAGGATAATGGGAGACTGAGGTCTGTTAGGAAGCAGTTAGTGCAGGAGCATGAGAGCTAGAGGAGCTCAGGGGAGCATACGGGGAGGCCTGGGCTGAAATAGCCAAGATTCAGGCTGGCCATCTAATTGTTAACAGTCACAGAACGTCAGAGACTTGCATGTTCAGCCAAGTTGTATTTTGTGAAAGTCAAGGCCCCGCTGGAAAAAACCTAGAACTTGAAACCTGCCATGGGACGACCGGGCGGATGCCCCGAGGATGCTGACTCTGCAGTCCCTACTGCTTATGGTTTTGCAGAAGTAGCCCATCCCTTCCCTAGAGTCACCTCTGTGATGCCCCAAGGTGCTGCAGAGGCGGCAACACCACCCCCACGCCCCCTCTGACAATAACTGCCCTATCTGCTTACTCTTGCCTACAAGGTTGATAAAGATGGTTGAATTCTAGCAAAGTCTGGCTGTGGATGTGGTGGGTGTGGTAAGGGGGAAGACTAGACACCAAAAATGTAAGAATTAGCTACTGTGTACTGGCTGGATCGGGTTAAATTCTCCAGGTGAAAGAATTCAACTAGGAAGAACTTACCCAGTAACAAGTTGTTTATAACGAACACACCTAAAACATAAAGACACAGATTTTAAAAGTGAAAGGGTAAAGGATATACACTGGGCGTCTGTTCGCCAAAGGCCAGCTGAGATACGGAGAAAATAGACAATAGAAAACAAGCTTGAAGAAAAAAAGTATTATGAGGGATAGAGAAAGCTACTTAAATTCTTGAAGAATCAACTCACTACAAAAGTTAAAATAATTCTAATATTGTATATACCAATTTAAAATTATATATTTATATTTATATGCAAAGTTAATGAAACCATCACAAAACTTTAAAAGAAATGAGGAGATTTGAACAGTAAAAGTAACAAGATTGTTTTAAAGTTCAAGTTAAGAGAATATTTGCTTGTAAAAGGAAGATGTGGCTTATAAATAGGAAGATAAATGAACTATAAGAAGGAAAATTAGATACACAAAAGGTAAAATGGACTAAAACTTGGATTCTATGGCTCCAGAAATGTAAAATTTGCAATTTGGTAAAGTAACAGCAGGGGGCAGCAGATTCCAAATGTGATAATTTTGCTTGTTAAGAGCTGGAAGGCTTTATGAAGATTATTAAATAATATGCTCCTTACAATGAGGATGAATAAACAGGGTCACACAGGTAGTAAATCTCAGAGCCAAGACTGAAATTCCACTCTTGATTTTATTTTAATAGCCTTTCAAAGAGGGAAAGGAGAAACATAGATGAAATTGTCAGCTGTCCAGTTTTTTTCTCCTTAATAAATGTTGTATTTCTTTTTCTTAAATGGTGCAAGGAACCTAGGATTAATTCAGTTTTTGTTTTTAAAAATGATGGTTGAGCTGGATTTAAACATCACTAGAAATAGTTTTTCTGTGGTTGAGTGAATGTTGAAATGCCAGAACAGAACTGAAGTTACCCAGTCAAGTCATAGGCCCCGGAAACTACAGCATTCCAGCCCTCCCCTCCCCCAACAGGTGACCTCTTCATGTGTACATACAGTCCCCATAACCTTTAGGAAGCAAGGCTGCCGCGAGGATATTTGTGACATCAGAGGAAGGTGTCCTTCTTGCCAGGTGCCCCGCGAGGGTTATCCTTGCCATTGCTAGGGCATTTTCACCTCTACCTGGAGCTGTAACAAATGGATTGACAGCTTCTGAAAGCTGGAAAATAGAACTAAAAAAAAGTTAAAAGCTGATTTTTTCTGGGGTAAAAGACAAAATAGACAAAGTACTGACTAATTATGAAAAACAGACTGAAGGCATGTAAAAAATAAGAGAGAAGGGAGAACTAGCCATAAAAGAGGAAACTAAAAGGACAATAGACTTTTGTTCAATTCTATATAAATAAATGCAAAACTTTTCTAGGAAAATGTCATTTATCAAAACTGAAACTTAAAAATTTAAACAACTTTTCACAGGAAATATTGTCAGAGTGCTGGTCCCTCACACAAATTACCACAATGTATGATTGCATGGACCAGTACAACCAAACCTTAAAGACGTCAATAATTCCAATGCCTACCACAAAAAAGTCTAACAGGAGAAAACTTCTAAATCTTTTTGTCAAGCTAATAAAAAAATAAAACCTGAAAGATTGACACAAAGAGAAAATGAAAGGCCTATCGCAAATGAATGTTAATGTAATCATCCTAAATCAAATGTTATCTATGTGAATTCAGGAGTACTTTAATGGACTCATACATCATAACCAAATGTTTAATATTGGGACATCTAATGTTGTAATTAATCATCTGACTGGGTAGAGAGAGGGTTCCTAGAGAATTATTTTTTCTAATTCCATAGAAGGTAAAAAGGCATTGGTTTAAATTCTACACCTGCTCCTGAGGAAAAACAAGGGACTAAGTAGATGGTTTTTTAACATAACAACATATACTCTCATATAATCTTTGTCCCAAAGGCAGCAACATTCTTAGTAGAGATACAATAGAT